GCAACAGTGGACAGTCAGAATGTATCTTTTGTGTTATAGCAGCAGCTCCCATGTTAACCAGTCCATTCTCAAAACACTTTCCTACATGTTTAGTATAGCATCTCTTATAAGCCCCAACCGCCATGAACCCCATGACTTAAGTGTGGACCACTGACACAACAGGGGCATCCTGAGACAAGGTAAGCAACACAAATCTGCCTGCAGTGAATGAAAACAAATTATAAAAAGCTTTGAGTCTATTCATACTATCTTTTTAAAAAGATCTTAGAGATTGCTAAGTCACCATGTCATAACATCTTAATTGGTGAGAGGAAAGAAATCTAGAATTGATCCTGCACTGTTGCTCTATAGACTCATTTCAGAGTAATCAACGTTGATAAGGCAATGTTCATTTCAAACAGATCTCAGGTAATACATGCAGCAAGGAACAGGAATGGCTAATTAATCCTTAATGAAATAACAGATACAGGGAGTGATCAGTGGCTGCTAAAACAACCAGGCAAGGCTGGTGAGATGGCTCAGTGGTCTAAAGCACCAACTTAGAACAAGCTAAGCTAAGCAAAGCACAGGGACCGCGGTTCAATCCCCCAGCACCACATGCCAGCCAGCCTCGCCCCCTGGTGGGCTGAGCTGGCCACACACAAAAATATAAATAAATAAATAAATAAATAAAAATTAAAAAATAAATAAATAAAAAAATAAAACAACCAGGCAAAAGGTCGATGGAGAACTTTATGTTGGATGGATGAGGCTGACAAAAGCCAAAACCATGGCTCTGTTCTGACAGTGAAAGTGGAGGATGTACGTGCCAACAAGGACATGCATCAACCTATAATGAAGCCCCCCACCCAGAATCTTGACTCTGACCCTAAGTAAGTTCTAGACTTAATGATCAGTTTATACATAAAAGAGGGTAAAGGGTAACGTTAAATGACCCCTGAGGATACATTAAGCTGGATTCAAATGGTGGAAAACTATAGGAAAAAGAAGCCAGTGTCTTCAAGGCGGGAGAAAATGTAGGGGTTAGGAGTGTACCAGAAATTTAAGACTCATCAACCTAATGCCATGTGACCTTGAGGCTATCAGAGAACACAACCCAGAGGGTCTCAGATGATATTAAGGATTATTACTTGTTGAATATGATGAGGAGGACATTGTGTGAAGTGATGTATTTGTTAGACTAAGAATTTACAGGTATATGACAAACACAGCAGAACACTGACAGTAACTGAAGGTGAGTGATGGACCAACAGCAATTCATTCTGCCTTCTCTTCTACTGTGACATACATGGAATTTTTCAGAAGTTTTTGTTTCTCCTTTTTTTTTTTTTAAAGTAGGATCCCGGGGAACATCCTTGTCTCAAGGCTCCACACTCACCTGTAGACACACTGTTGGTGATAAAAGTGTTTCTTGCCCCTTTGAGGGTAAATTATTTGGGGACGGTCAAGGGTTTATTCCCTTTTCTAGTAATAGTGGCGCTCATATACTTAAAATTTGAGAAAGATTTATGCATCATATTAACCTAGTCTCTGGTCACAAGAAACAGTCTCACAAACCGGCCTTCAGTAAAGGGTCCTTAGTAAATCCTTTACTGCATCTCATCTGCTCTGGGAAGGCCCGAACATAAATACCCACCATATGCCAAGTATGTGCTAAACAAGATGGGGTCTCTACTCATAGGAAGGTTTTAAGTCAGTGGATTTAATCTAAACCATATGGCCTCTTGAAATCCTGCCTGAATAGGACAAGTAGCAGCAAATAATGGCAATACATTCATGCATACTGTACTAGTATTTTACATGCATAATCATATTTAATCCCCATAACAGGCCTATAAACAATATACTACAAAATTAACCCTTTCGCACATAGATGCAGATGTATAATTTAAATTTTTTAAAAATTTATTTGCTACAGGATTTCACTTTGCAGATCAGATTCATAGTGATCCTCCTATCTCAGCCTCCCCAGTGCTGGGATTACAAATGTGCACCACCACGGCTGGATCTGGGGCCTACACAGCATGCAGTACTGGGAATCAAACTCAGGTCCTTATACTTGCCAAACAGGGGTTTAGACTGCTGAGCTATCTCCCCTGCCCAAGGTGTATAAGTTTAAATAAGGCATAAAGCAGTCAAGTGACTTTTCATAGTTATCTACCTCGTAAGTAGTATAGCTGAGATTTGAACCTGGGGAGCCTGGCTTAAGGGCTCTCTCTAATCTATACTGCAGCACTACAAACCGCCAGCCATCCTTGCTGGAGTTCATTCGAGTAGCAAAGAAATCTGGACTGGCTCAGCAGGTAAAGAGTAAGACTTTCTTGGACAGCAGACCAGAAAATGATATTCAGCACTTAGCACTGGAGTGACAGAGCTTTAAGGAATCACACCGCAGACAAAGGTCATGCCCTGGCTTATCTCAGTGGTTCACAGATGGTGACAGTGAGTGGGCAGCAGGGTGCTAGGCCAAGCTGCACTCCCCAGGACAGGCGGCCCTGCCTTTCTGACAATGGCAGGCACACAGCATGGTGCCAGGCACACAGCATGGTGCCAGCTAGGCAGAGGCAGAGGGCAGTACCTCCTGCTCCCATCCTATGCCACACTGAGGACATTCGCCCTGCTTCTCCACTCCTAGCACACACTTTGCTGGGCTCTTTCTCTGTATCTCAGGGTCTCTCCCCTGCCAGCCACTTGCAGCAGCTGGAAGAGCCCCTGACAGCCCCACAGGCCTGAAGCACACCACACTGTATCCTAGGCTTCCTCAGTGTCCAGCTCTATAGCCCAGCCCCCAAACAGAATGCTCTAAAACCAATCAGGAAGTCAGGATATCTGTGGCAGCTCAGAGCTTCCCACAGTCCCCTCACCCGTGAAATGCAGGAGATTATTTCCTGGAATGGACTTCGATATGCCTATCAGCTTGACAGCTCCTCTCTTCCCCTCACTGAATCCATGTCTGAGATCAAATATAGTCATATGCTAAATAATGGTGTTTTGGTCAATGATGGGTCATAATACAACAGCAGTCTCATAAAATGACAGCACCTTGAGACATTATATTCATCTCAGTTTGTAAAGTATACTCTATGAATACTCACAACGGAATCACCTTGCTGTGGCCAGAAGAACACTGAAATGACACCCAAGATTTGGAGGCAGATTTACTTAGGTTGACAGGCATCGATCAGGATCATTCCCAAAATATCAGGCCCCGATGTCTGATGGTCTAGGGCTTATATGGGATAAGCAAGCAGGACGTATAGAGGCAGAATGGCTTCTCAACTGGGGACTGGTTTATACAATACACATCACAGTGACCAGCAATTTCCGAGAGACAGGAGCAACCAGAACTGGATCAGGAACTATTACCTGGGCAGCTAAGACACTGAAGGGTACTGGATGGGGTTGTCATTTTCTATTACAACTTAACACAACATGCACTTCTTAGGATATCCCCGTCTTTAAGCAGTTGACAAGAGCTGACCAAAACCATCTTTGTTTAAAGCCTGACAAAACTCATAATGGGCAAAGGCTACCGTGGTGATGCCAGCCTTATTCAGGTCCCATTAATCGATTATGTGTTTAAGTACAGAAGCTCCTGCAGCAACAGAGGTAAGAAAGGGCAGCCCGTCTCCTCTCATCAGCGTGCACACAGTGAACTCAGACACTGGTCTGTCCTCCCTCCCAGCTCCCTCCATCCTCTAGTGTTCTCCAAGCCTTGGGCCACAGACTGTGACAAAAAGAAGGACCTGGCCTCACTCAGCCCATAGTCTCCTTTATGATTTTTAAAAACCTAAACAGAGAAGAAATGGTCTCTATCAGTTTCACCAGAGAAGCTTGGGGAAGAGGCTCTACCATTCTTTCTATCCACCCCTGGGGACTGGGCTCTCAGTTCCAGAATTAGTGAGGGGCTAAAATGTAATGACTTTCAGTCATTCAGAAAATAAGGCACTGCATACCTTCCGGTGCCTGACACAACACTCGAAGAGGAAGGAAATAAAAAGCACAGAAGCGGGATTTGGAAATGGCTTTACACCACTTCATCAGTCCTATGCACAGTCCCGCAGCCAGCCAGCCAGCCAGCGTGGATTCAACATGAAACGCAACAGTCACCAACACCTTTCTCCCAGACAAGAAGCCACCTCCTACCGTGGTGAGGCAGCAGGCAGCCAAGACACAGGAAGGGCTTCATTAGAGAAGAAACAGTCAGGATACACACTGAGGATATGCATTACCAATGCCTGATCCTCAACGATTGCAGTTTGCCTAATAATTTCCCATTTCTAAACTCAACTTTGATGGTTCAAATAAGGCAGAAGTAAACAAAGGCATTAAAAACAGAATTTTAAAAGTAAAATTAAGAATATATTTAAAGTTCACTGAACACAAGATGTGTGGACTGTCCTATGATTCACACAAAAATCCAAAATTTCCTATGATTAAATGAGAGAGAGAGCGAGAGAGAGAGCGAGAGTGTGCCCCACCAAAAACGTATATATCAGGAAAAGAAAACTTGTATAAATATTTTAATACTAAATTTGAGAAATCATGAGTTCAATACAATTTACCTTTGACCTGTACAATTACAAGAGGTACTCAAAGGGGTGGCCATTAGCTTGTAGGCATCTATGAGTACAGCAAGCTGTTGCATATATACATTTTTTGGCTCTCTCTCTCTCTCTCTCTATATATATATATATATATACACACACACACACACCTACCCACATATCACTTTTTTCCCTAAAGGCAAAAGAAAATCTGCATTGAACAACTCAAGGCACCTCAAGTCCAATTGTTACTAATGGAAAAAACCCATACAGTAAAATAGTATTTCCATCAGTGAAGACACTGCAAAAAGTTTATCCTTTGAATCTGTTAGCTTGTTTTTATTTTATCCTTTAGTCACTTAGTTCACAATTAAAAAAAAAAAATAACAAAAACTCAGAGGTAAATCCACCTTGCCACCAGTGAGTGATATAAAATCTCTTTTCTCTCAAGTGGATCTCACATCTTCTTTTATGCCTCTGCCAACAGCCTACCACCACTTCTCAAAAAAAATGTGTTCCTTGGGAACATGGTTGTTTTCTAGTTGCTTGGAGAAGAAGTCTGTCATTGGAGGTGGGCCACAAATATAGAATAAAGTCTCCTTTGAAATATGATCTTTTATCTCCTCCTCCGTTATTCTTCCTTCTACCAAAAACAGAACAAACACCAAATTAAGCCAGACAGGTCTGCATTCTGAAATGAGGCGGGAGTAAGCACAATTCAGCAACAGTGTTTATTTGCAGTAAATCAAGCGCAGTGTAGTGTGTCTTGGGGCTTCTTAAACGTATGGCAAGCAAACTGGCAAGCTAACCGTAACGCACTCTAGAGGGAGAACCAGCTAGCTTACTGGTCTTTGATGGAGATGCAAAATTGTTTTCAGCAAAACAAAAGCAAAAATGTTTCAGAAATAAAGTTTCACAAAATCCTTCAAAGTGGAAAACCATGAGTAACTTAAATGACAATTACCAGCAAATGCAATCAATTCAGCCAAGGTTGAAATATAAATTTTTTGTATGCTCAACACAGCAATGACACAAAGGCCTCCTTAAAAAATGTGAAAAAAATTTAATATGGGCAGTAGAAAGTTTCTGCATGATAATTAAATCCCACTAAGCAGTTCCTTGTTTTTCTGTGATGAATCATCTCCAGTTCCCTTGGTACTAACAATCCCAGCCAGCAATTCCCAACAATAAAGCATATGTGCCCAACCAACTGTCATGTCCACCAAGGAACTGCCTGGACATAATCAAATATCTTTAGCGGACTCACCCGTGATATATGGCCTGAGTTCTGCACTGATTTGTGTAGTCTGTTTTGTGACGTGCAAACTGCATGCAATCTTCTCAGGAAATTCACTTACTAAATTGAGGATATTTTTCTGGAATGTCAAACATATTTGGTCACACTACAATTTTAAAAAATCAAAACAGATGTGCATTAACCACTGACGCCGAACCTCAACTCCCATTCTGCACACGTCTGCCACTCTTACTCTCTACTTAGGGAGATATTGTTTGCAGCCTAGCAGGCCAAAGCATTCAGAGTACAGAGGGCTATTTGGCTTTAATTGAAATCTGAATATGCTAACAAGCATATTACTAACTCTCCGGGAGTTTTTTCTTTTTCCTTTTTCTCAAGCATTGGCAATTAAGCAGCAGTTTCACTGACCACAGTTGTGTCTTTTAACTGTTTCTGTTCTTTTGTTCATTTCTGCAGCTGCTAAGCAGTCTTGAGTGAAAGCCTTCTCTGCTGAATGTACTTAGTCTCAACAGATGCAACCGATGGGGGTTTCATTTACCCAGCTGGGTCCAAACTATCTGGATCTCACCTACTTCAGGGACAGAGAAGCCCACTTGTGGGCCTCTTGACTCTTTGCGGAATCTCAGGGTCACGGTGACCTTTCTGTTCACTTAACCTCCAGATTCCACCCCACCAAAACCCGCCTTATCTTGTCACTTAACTTGGAGCCTCCTCAACACTAGCAGTTTTATTTATCCTGGGTTAAGATGTGTTGGTTAATTCTTATTTGAGCACGATAAAACCTTGCCAAACCTTTTGTCTGCACCTTTGCAGAGATATCAGATCCTAGATAAGACATTTTTGTGGATAATGCTATTGTACAAGTTTGCTTATAGCAAACTGTAAAACATATATTCCCGCTCTTACCTTAAACAAGAGTTCACTAGTGTTCTTTGCACTGTAGAATAGTTTTATTGTTCCTATCTCATATCCACTTCTTTTGTTTGCCCACTCTCGGTGAAGATCTGCCGAGTACCGCAGGATGGAAAGCAGAGGGTTAATTCCGACTCCTCCTGCAATCAACACAAGGTTTCTGGGGGCATCTGTGGGCTGAGGGTCAAAGAAGAACTCTCCACCCACTCTCACAGCCACTTCAGAGTTCAGTGTACACTATGGCAGGGAGGGAAAAAAAGAAAAGGATCTTTTAGTCTTTTGTAGCATAGGTCTTAAACCAAATGTTCTACTTTAATAAAACCAACTGCCTACCTTCTACATTCATAGCAGTACTTGGGACTATTTTTGCAGCTTGCTCTCAATTTTCTCACAGTGCTGTGAACTGATTGCAAAATTATGTAAGCCACTTGCTACCCCACCTTTGGGGTCCTTACTGCACACCCTCTCCAGTTCTGGGGAAAGGTGACTTGCTTCAGTGAATCTGCTCTCTGGTGACTTCTCGGGTGATGAAATGAGTTGACAAACGTGGTAATGAACTCCAGCAGGGAACAGCTATGGAGTACAGGTGTCCTGTATCCGACAGGGATTTCTTACTCTCATCAAGGCTGAGAGAAACAGGAGGGGCAGGTGCCATGACCCTGACTGCCACAGCTCATCAGGGCTGAGACGGATGAGCGCTGGTAACCCTCCCAACACCCAGCAGAGCACGGCCAGGCCAGCTCCACAGGCTCAGACCGGCACAGCGCTGCCGCTCAACGCTGTTATCCTCGCCCCGGAGCAGCCAGAACAGAACACAGAGCCCTTGCCTAGGAGTGAGTCCCACATAGGTCCACTCAGGTAAAGATTCTATTTGGTGAGGTTGCCACACCAGAAATATCACCAAAGTTGAATTTGGTGATATTAGTGGCAGTTAATACTGCCACTAATGGGGTTATTACGGAAACTTTTGGCAACACTTTTGGTGGCTACAGTGATCTGGGAGACCCAAATGGTGTTTAGAAGGCAGGGGGCAGAGGTGCTAGATACCCCACAGAATTAGTGGTGTCCTGGAGCTGGCTCCTACTATGCTGATGGTTACATGTGCAGGGACTCTGTGAGCTAGTATCTACTGGTAGCAAGTAGGGGAGCATTTACCACAGAGATCAGGGCTTTCTTCATTTTGGGAGCTGGCTTGCCACCATACCATTATCTGCACTAGAAAGGCCTGTCCTGACGATGTAGGTGAAGACTGGATTGTAATGATCTCAGACTAGACCCTAACTTTTCATAAATAAATAGACTTTTGGGGGCACACATCTAATTTGCTCTGAATTTCCTAGAATGTAACCCCGTGCGTAGATTTGCTGTGCTTGGCTGTCATCAGCACTTTACCAATTATATTCACAGCTCTGAAAAACCATATCCAGCTGGTGGCATGTGTGTTGTCCTGTCACACCCAACAGACCTGCATCATTTGCATCTGGAGACCATGTATTCATGATGGTTCTATGTTCAGGAAAAACTACCTGACAGTTTTGGCCTATCTCCTAGTTTAGCTAAACTCCACATTTATATTTTGTAATACTCTTTGACTAGGGATTACTTTCCATTTATATTATACCTAAGAGAATTATGTTTTTTAAAAAAGTATGTATTCAATCCACTAACTATGAATTTCATTTCAGGATAGTTCTAGAAAGAAGGCACTGGCTCTGAAGGGAAGAGAACTTCATATTGATTAGGTATCAAAGACTGAACTTTAATCATAAAGAGGTTAAAAAATAAGCCCAGCAAGTCCTTCTAACTTCTCTGAGTCTCTGCTGCCTGAAACTGACCTGCCCACCCCACTTCACGAGGTTGCTACGGGGACTAATGACACCGGGGTGGGGGGAATAACCAGGCTTAGGTAAGGAGGCATTTTAATCAAAAGGGAAAAAGTGCTCAGCATGCTGTCCTTCCTGTCACTAAAAGATAATCCCACAATAAAGAAATTGATATTAAGAACAGGATAGGATTGTGCCATTACATATTCCTGGCATAAACCAACTAAATGAACTCCCTCCTAAAAAATAATAACATATCACACACTTTTTGAGGATCAAACCCTTGACATTCACACACTGCAGGTAAGTAATAAGTACTTTCAGACAGTAATTTAATTTGAGGCACAAAACTTGAAGAGAAGTCAAATTTAGTGAAAAAGTTAAGAAAAAATGAAAATTGTCTGAATTCACAAAATTGGAACTTTTGGTAAGAACTATTAAAAGAATGGAAACCCTTTCTTTTGAGGGAAAAATGTCAGAACTTAACTGTTTTAAGTATGTAGGACATTGTTACATGAATGATACTAAGTGGATTTTCCTTTTGATGAAAGGAATTGGCAGCAAGAGAGTATCTGGTTAGAATAAAATCTAGGAATGGCTACACTGGCTACCCAAGTGCTTTAAAACGCTCCTTCAAGACTTGAAAACAGAGTCTAAGACACAAGAGTCTCTGCCTAGGGATGACAATGGATTTCATCTTTCTACAGCCTTCCTCTACCTTTCTCTTGCTTGCTTATGTAAATCTCTGTCCATAGGAATCTCAGCATAAAAGAAACTGAAAATGACAATTTTCCAGTGGCTATCTTTGGCATACATACTTAGTATGACAACAAAGAAAGCTTTCTGCTTATTGTTTTTAGAAACTAGATCATGTTCAACCCCAAAGTTGGCAAGAAAATGTGCCCCAGGGAAGGATGATGCCCCAGAAAGCTGTTTTCTCTTTAGCGACAAAATAATCCTCAGTAGATCTATCTTCTAATTTGCTAGCCTTTAGAAAGAATCAAAAGTTACTCTTTGTCTTTTGTTGATCAATAAAAACTGCCAGGGTAGCACAAAACTCAAAGGCTACACACTACATAGGATATGTAAGTAAATTAAAGGACATTACCTACAATTACATGTATCTAACTTGAGTACAGATTTTCTACTTGTGAAATAACCTTTCCACAGCAACTGGAGCCAAGCACACAACAGCTGCCTACAAACCCTCACCCTGCCGGGAGTTTGAGCCAAAGCAATGAAATAAAGGAAGATGTTTATGGCACTTGATCCTACGTCCCAACAGAGCATCCTGGTGCCACCCAGACACTTCCGTGCCTCCATTGTCCACTCTAACAGCTTAATAAGACAAATCCTCAGGAGAAAAATAGCTACCTGAAAATGGTTCCAAGAAAAATCTGACTTCATAAAGGCTGTTTGCAACTCCCACTGGGCAGAGTGAGCAGGCACCACAATTAGGATGTGCATTCAGGCAGTGCCACTTTCAGATTTTCTACAGCTCTAAGAGTAAGTTCCTTCATTGAAATGCCAATGAGGCATGAAACCAAGCAGGGAGCCGTGGACCAGGACCAGGTCAAGTCATGTGGGAGGCTAAGGGCAGCTTCAGAGTGAGTGTGTGTGTGTGTGTGTGTGTGTGTGTGTGTGTGTGTAGGCACATTTCTGGCACTAGGAGCAAGGGTACCTGTGCTCACTTGGAATCTGACAAGGGGCATGTGGGCACTTTGTTGGGCCCATCCAGTGGTATAATTTAGAGACTGAGATTGCAGCCTATAGACAGTTATGGGTTGAAAATCTACAGAGAATTTAAAAAGGAAAGAGGCAGCTGAGGCCATACCCAAGGAGACTCAGAAGCAGGAGGATAAAACATGACAGGATACATTTACAATGCAAATGCCACAGCAAGCAAGCACCTGGGGTTTCCTGAACAGACACAATTGACAGAAGAATACACAAGAATATATTTTTGTGTTCCTATAAATTAAGAAATTACCTTACTATGATTTTTTTTCTTTTGGCGTATATTTCTATATTCTACACATATATAGACCTGTGTGACTACTATCAAAATCAAGATATAGAATTGATCGCCTGGGTATAGTGGCATGTGTCTGTACTGCCAGCACTGTAGAAAGCACAGGCAGATGCACTTCAAGCTCAGCCTGGGAACTTAGTGAGACCCTGTTTCAAAATTTAAAAGGGAAAAAGGGCCAGCCAGATAGCTCAGCAGACTGAAACACCTGCTTAGGCAGAGTGCAGGTGCTGGGGTTCAATCCCAGGAACCACAAGCCATGCCGGCACCTCCCCCAGGGCACGCTGAGATGGCAATTGAGACTGGACGTGGTGGTGTGTGCCTGTAATCCCAGCACTTGGGAGGCTGAAAACAGGAGGATCACTACGAGTCCAATCTGTGTAGCGAGATCCTGTAGACCCTGCACTAAATAAAAAAAAATAAAAAATTACAAGGGGTCAGGTGGAGCTGTGGCTCAGTGCAAAGTACTGTTGAAAAGAAGAGCCTCCCCGCAAAAGTCCCTGTTGTCCCTTTATACTCACAGCTTTCCCTACTCCAACCCTTGCCAAGCCCTGATCTGTTTCCATCATTCTTTTTGTCTTCTAGAACATGGCATAAATGTGATTTTGTTGTATGTAACTTTTTGAGACCACTTTCTCACAAAACATGATGCCTCTGAGATTCACCCAAGTTGCTATGTGTGTCAGTAGAGTTCACCCCTCTTCATTGCAAAATCCATGAAATTAACAGTCTGTTTATCTATTCTGCTGAGGAACATCTGAGTTGTTCCTCGTTTTTGATATTTACAAACAGAACTATTGAGCCAAGTGTGGTGGCACACACCTGTAATCCCAGCACTTGGGAGGCTGAAGCAGGAAGATCACTGAGAGTTCGAGACCAGCCTGGGCTACAAAGTGAGCTCAAGGCAAGCCTGAACTGCATAGCGAGACCCTGCCTCAAAAAGACAAAAAAAAAAAAAAAAAAAAAGAAAAAAGAAGAAGAAAAACACATAGAACTACTATAAACATACATGTTAAGTTTTTATATGAACAAAGCTTTCATTGCTCTAGGATAAACTCGGGAATCATATTGCTGGGTTACATGATAAGTGTATGTTTATATGAAATGTCAAATGTTTCCCAGAATGGCTAGATTATACTATCTTAAATTCCTGCTGACAACGTAAGCAAATTGAGTTTCAGGTGCTCTACATCCTTACCAACACTGCAAACTGTGGGTATTTTTAACTTCAGTTATTCTAATGAAGCAGGATAATTATATCCCAGCACACATTACTGTAACCTGTATTTCCTTAGTGATCAATGATGGTGACAGCTTTTCATTATTTGCAAACCTTATATCCCTTTTTCGTGAAGTATCTGATACTTCCCCCAACCCCCGTGTGTGTGTGTGTGCGCGCGCGTGTGTGTGTGTGTTGGCAATACTGGGGATTGAACCCAATGGTGCTCTACCACTGAGATACTCCCCATTATTACATCTTTATTTTGAGACATGGTCTCACGAAGTTTCCCAGGCCAGCCTCAAACTTGCAATCTTCTTGCCTCAACCTTCCAAGTAGTTGGGATTTTAAGTGTGGACCACTGTCCTTGGGCTTTGTATATTCTTTCATTAAGGAGTCTTCTTTTGGTTGACTTTTGATATTTCTTTTTGTGTTCTGATATAAATCCTTTCTTGAGTATCTGATCTACAAATATTTTTTTCTAGTTTAAGGTTATTTTTTAACTCTGATAACAGTCTTAGAAAGGCCAGGTGCAAGTATGCATGCCTGTAATCTCAGCACTTGGGAAGCTAAGACAGGAGGATCACCACGAGTTTGAGCCCAGCATGCACCTCATAGTGACAGCCTGTCTCAAAAGACAAACAAAATCTCCACCAACAAAACAAAACAAAACAAAACAGCTCAGTCTTACAGGGAAAGTTTTAATTTTGACCAAGTCCTATATGTAATTTTTTCTTTTCTAGATCTTGAGCATGGTGTCACGTCTAATACCTTTTTGCCTATCCTCAAATTCCATCTATCTCTTGTTGTCTTCTAGAACTTTCATAGTTTCATACTTTATATTTAGAGTACAAACCATTTCAAGTTAATTCTAAATATAAAGTATGAGGTTTAAAGTTCCTTTTTTTTTTTTTTTTTTTGTTTTTTTTTTTTTTTTGCATACAGGTGTACAACTGTTTTAGCACTATTTGTTGAAAATGCTATACTTTTCCCAAAGTTTAACATCTTTGCCAAAAATAAAATATTCACATTTGTGTTGGTCTATTTCTAAATGCTATATTCTGACCCACTTATCTGTGTGTATCTATTCCTTTCACCAATTTCCCACTATTTTAACTGCTATTTTAGCTTAATCTGAAATTTGAATCATGGGATTCATTTTTATTTTTCAAAAGTGTTTTAGCTATTCTAGTTTCTTTTCCTTTCCATATAAACTTTAAAATCCCTTGGCTATAGCTATAAAAAAAAACAACTCTTAAAATTTAAATTATAAATCAATTTAAAGACTGACCTCTTTACTATCTTGAGTCTCCCAATTCATGAACAGTTAACTATTTATTCATATCTTCTTTAATTTTTTTATGAGATTGAGATAAACTGATTTTTTTTAGAGAGCACCTATTTAGAAGATGGTCCTTTAATGGGGAATGGGCCCAAAGAATATCCTAAGCCAGCTCCTTTTCACAGGCCAAAACCTCTCTCAGCAATTTCAATGGCATATTAGCTCCTATGTGGCCTGTTTGATTCTTTGTGTGCCCTCTCTTCTAGCTGAACCAAAATGTGTCCATGTGGGACCTGTACAGCCACTAAGTTCAACCATCCACACTTTCTTTTGCAAATAATGTATATAGGTCCCACCTCATTCACATACACATTTTGGTGCTCTTCTTCTTCTTTTTTCCATAATTTTATTGAGAAACAAATAGCAATGAGACAGTTTCAAACCAAATTGGTAGGACAGTTTCAATAATTAGCACATTGCATACATTCTTCCTAGTGATTAATTGCTATACAAGATGCGGACATGATATCCTATTTACAAACACCATTAGAAGAAATCCCTCTATTCATTAAGAGAATGTAACTATATATCTATCCTAACCA